GGGAAAACGAGTCGCAGTATTTTGCTGAGTTCGCAGCAGCTGTTGAAGGGCTGTCTCTTTGCGACGAGCTTCTCCAAAGCCAATCTCCAAATAGGGATGAAACTGACGAAAGTGGCAAAGTTAAAGGACTGAATTGCAAAACCCGTCTTTCTGACTACGCTCGTTTGGGACCGGAAGATTTGAAGAGGGATTTGGAGGAATGCCAAAATATGGCTGTTTCTGATCCAGCAGCAAACATAGAAATCGACGACACCCCTCCCGATTTTCGATTGAGTCAACTCGATATTCCTGATTTTCGATTGAGTCAACTCGACACTCCTCCTGATTTTCGACTAAGCCAACTCGTGAGTTTTGTTTCTTCTTTTTTTGCTTTTTTTTAGTTAATTGATAATTTAATTATTTAAATGAAATTATTAAATGTGTGCAGGAGTTTGAGTCTCAAGATAGCTACATCGCTTGGGGTGGAGGAGGAAAGAAGATTGGCTAGAGATCCCGAATTCTCCGGAAGCTTCTTTTTTTGCCGGAAGCTTTTAATTGGTATATGATTTTTCATTCTGATGATCAAGATATTACTTGAAACAAATACTTAATTGGTGCTAGCGATTATTATATTTTTTGACGAATTAATTAGGCGCATCAACCAAACTTGTTTTGATGAATTAGCCGTTCGTAATATATTATATATGCTTGTCATCTTCTATAATCCCGTCGTTATTTTTTAAAAAAAAAAAATTCCGACACAAAATAAAATATCTAGAAGCTACTATAGTAGGAGCGTTCGAATTTGGAACGATGCATGAATTTGTCTGACTTTTACAGGTCATTTAAGGGTTTGTGTGCCCCTCAAATATGCAATAAAGTGCATGAACCTGGAGAACTTGGATCTTTTACAGGTCAATAAGGTTGTTGTTTTTGTAACATGCAATAATTAATATATACATACATGCATGCATACATACATATATGTATGTAGTATATGAATTCAAGTTTTGGAGGGGCCAAGAAAATGTTGATGATTGAAAAAATAATTTGTATGATGTTACTATGTTAGCCATATATGCACATGTATATATATGTTTGTGTGTGTGTGTGTGTGTGTGTGTGTGTGTGTTGTGTGTGTGTGTGTGTGTGTGTGTGTGTGTGTGTGTGTGTGTGTGTGAGAGAGAGAGAGAGAGAGAGAGAGATGTCACATTATTAGATACTTACATATAAAGTATAAGTAACTACCAAAATTTAAGATATAAACTGAAATCGAAACCGAAACCGAAACGGAAACGGAAACTCTATTGAATCAAAAAAAAATCATTGTGATTTAAAGTTACACCTAACTAAATTATAGACTGATAATTGAATAGATAAGGATTCATATATAGTACAGTTGCAGATATAACTTATAAGTCATGATCTTGATGTAGATATATGTCTTGTCAAATTAATCCCTCGTTTCAATTATATTAATAATCTTTTATTTATTTATTTATTGAAATTCAACTACTGCATTTAAAATCTCAAGTACTTGATGAGATTTGTAATAAAAATCAATTTAAATTTTGATGAGATGCATGAGACAATGGTGAGTCATCCACATGTGAAGGGAACTCAATATATTATTTGTAGGGGCATAATTTATATATATGGTTTGATGAAAAATTCCAAAAAGTTAGTAATATAATATCTAACTAACTATACTCATGTATTTATCATTTAAAAAAAAAAAAAGGAAGAATCAAAATATACGACTACTCAAAGCGCCTAATTGGTCCAGGTCCATGCATGTTTAATTTGACTACTCAAACACAACTTGTCTTAGTCCACACACACACACACACACATATA